TATTCATTGATTTATTTTTTCAAAACGTTTCAGTATTAAATAGGTGTCAAATTAAAAAGAATTAAATATAAATGCTAAACATAAGAGATTTGACAACTAAGATAAATGGCATAGTGTGTAAATATTTGGTAATATTAGGACAACTATTAACCTAGCTATATATTCAAATTTGGATTTTTGATAATAGTTTAAAATTCAATAAGTTTACGTCTAGGATATAAGAGTTATAAGGACCTATCTCGTAACAACCCTTTTTTAAAAGTAATTTTTTGTTGGCAAGGGAGAGCTTGAGGCGAATTAGAGTTTCTCATTTGATTGTTTTAAATGAGAGCACAGTTGTTCACTCACATCTAAAGATTCTAAGCTATGATTTTTGTGTCTAATCTTTTATATATTAAATGGAATATAATAGTTTTATATTCAAGCAGACGTGAGTTAGGTGAGTTGGTCAGGATAGTAAATCCGTCCTTTGCATTCAAGTTCGAATCCCCCTCTCAATATATAGATTAATTTAGAGTAGATTATCGTTTATATAAAAATGATATATATATAAAAACTTTAGATTGAGAGAAGGAGCCCATAAGTGGCTGACCCCTACACTTTTCGCCCAATTCTCTACTGGACTCAATCAGCAAGCCTGTCTACAGGGAAAATTCTACGGTGAGAAAGCAAGTAGTCTAGTAGTTGTCTACAGAAGTTAGATTGGACTGAGAAAGCAAGTAGTCTAGTAGTGTTTGTCTTGAACCCCATTTTCGGTCTTTTTTTAACTTTCAATATGATGTGAATGGCAACAAATTTAGAACACTCTGAACCAACCAAAATTAGATAAAAATCACAGTTGACAACTTAGCTTCACATTATTGATCAGAAGTACATTGCATATAATAGGTTTTACATATCATCAAGTCTGAAACTTGGATTATTATTATTTATTCAATTTCATGAGTACAATAAACTGTGTCTAGATCTCCTCCAGAAAAGTGAAAACTAAACGCCACTAGACTAAATGATCATTGACAACTGAAGCTTAGAACAACGTCACATGGCAGCGGAAAATGATTTTCTCTCGGAATTAGTGGAGGGAAGGAGGATGCTTTCCCTCAAGGAAAGATGAGATCAAGGTGAGTGCTCGTTGAGGTTGGTTGCTGGGAACCATGATCCCAGCTCCCCTCACAGTAGCAAACGTCAACCCTTCGTACCCAACCACATATCCTCCAACCTGCATTGCCATATACACCAACATGAATACCGTGAGGAAATTAAGTAAGTGCCCCTCATATATGAATTAATTACTTGCTAGCCCTTCAGTATATGAATCAAATATTACCTCTCTAATATTAGAGTACCATGCCCTCCATGGAGTCTTGATGGGTAAGTTGAGGATGTGCAGGGCGTATCTAGAAGATGTGACTGGCGATAACCCATCGGTGTCTCCACTGTCATTAAGTTGCATTTGACATAAAAACTAATTATTAGTTACCTTAATTATGAATTAATTTACCATATACATAATATTATTGTAATCTAACTCATGATTGTTAAATTAAATATATACAGCCAGCCATGCATGGAGTTTCTGAGCTTAATGAATCCAAGGCGCCTCACCTATATATCCAAAAACTTATCCCACTTTGTATGATCTGTTGTATTGTGGGTAGCATGGTGTCTGGGCTGTCCGTCCAATCAGTATCACTAGAGACCAAAACAAAGCAAACAAACAAAAAAAGTTACTTCCACACATACAAAGAGCTTCAGTTGAGGGACACCCTTATAGGACCCACTCAGTATTGTATTTCACTAATATGAACCGTCTATTTTGTGGATATTCATCAAAAATCATCTCTACAAAAAATCATTTGAATCCGATATTATTTGACCACTCAATTAAATTATTGAAATTTTAATACTTTTTTGAAGCACCGTGTTCATTGATTTTGTAAGACACAATTGGATGTCGAAACGGTTTCAATTTGTCTAATTTTTAGATATAAATATATATTCAGATGATGTATATATATTTGAGTAATATATATATACCTGCAAGCTGACCACTTTGTAGGTTTAACATGAAGAGCTGCCTGCACCTCGGGAAGGTTTAGATAGCCCTCGACATAGGTGTCGGAGCATGGATCAAAATCATCAACCTGATAATGTAAACACATGCATGATGCATCATATAATTGATATCTTACTTCATTTCATATATAATTAATTCTATTTACAAGCCCCAATTTGCTCTAATGGAGTAACAATATTATTGCATATAGGATAACAATAAATTAATATTTTCTTCTGTTCCTTCCTGCAGTATTATATGTATATTATTTTGTTATAATCTGCTTTGGAGACTTACAGAAGCAGTTGAGACAGATTTGGGTTGTGAATCTTGTGATGTTTTGCAAATTGGAGCGTAGATGTTGGAAATATCAATATCTCCAACCTCCCCGAATGCTTGTCTCAGATATTCATCACACGCTTCGGATTGATCACCTCCTAAGTCAGTAAGGTTACAAAATTTATGTATCCCTGCATTGGTTTCGTCAGAGTTCAAAGCATGTGTCCACAAATTATCAAAAATGGCCAGTAGATTGGTGTTATCATCGATCCAAGGATTCCCAATCTGCAAATACAAAATATCCATGCATGAACACACGACTGTAAACATAGCAATGTTCTCTTGTCAGACTTATATATACTTCTACACAACACCGTCTCATTAAAGAACATATATAGTCTGGTTCTCTTGTAACACATATTTTCTCTAGTACTACAATGAAAAAAATTCAGCAATTAATCAACTACTCACAGCAACTCCTTTGAGATTGATTTTTGTTTGGTTTGTGATGTTGTTGTTGGAGAGAATGGTGTAAGCAAGTTCAGGTGCGTAATGACCAGCAGCACTCTCTCCAGTGATGAAGAAATCACTGTCTTTGTATTGAGGAAATCTCTCCAGCCAGTTCACAAGAAATGCATAAGAGTCCTGGGCCGTGATCTCATCACCCACGGTGTCGTAGTCAGACGATGTGTTCGAATACGAAAACCCAGTTCCTAATGGAGTCTCCAAAAAGAGGACGTTTGCCGCTGCCATGCATTTTTAATGGAAATTAATTAAGAACTTGCATTGATTAATTAATTAATTAATTAGAGACTAATTAAGTTGCACATAATTTAAATTAGTACCGTTGTTCCAAGCATAATCATTAGGAATTAGTGTCTTGTTATCGTTTCCGACTCTGAATGGTCCCAGTTCTTGTAAGGCTCCATATCCAAAAGCCGAGCATCCTCCAGGTCCTGTAATCAGTTGTAATTAATTAAGTAAATTAAACTAATTTTTTCATAATAATAATAAATATAACATTGTTATTTACCTCCATGTAACGATAGCACCAGAGGATTGCTTGAAGAATTATTTGCCTCGACAAAGTAATAGAACAAAGCTCTCCCAGCTGTAGGGTCCACAGTAACATAGCCTGCATATTGATTGAAATTTACTTCTCCAGCAGGTTGCCCTGGCAAAGCCTCAATCTTATCAGCCTCCATTAACCCTTCTTGGGAGCCAACGTACACAGGAGAGTATAAGCCATCCCATGATTTAGGGTTTCCAGCAGATTTGCGAGACTTAATCAACTTCTTAATGAGGTTGTTAGTTTGGTAATTAGCATTGCATTTTATGCTAGAGATGGAGAGGAGCAACAAACATGTAAACAAGGAAAGCTTCATCTTTCAAGTCCTTGCTTACAATAATTAATGCTAATTAGAATTTATAGACCTAATCTGAAACTTGGGACGAGATTACTTAGGCGTTTGGTTGTATAATTAACTGATAATTAATACAGCATTGTCTCAAAAGAGAATGTCGAAGTCATATCCAGCCTAGACTAATACAGAAATTAATAGTTACAAGAATATTCTGACAAAAAAATGTGACGACATGAACAATCTATGATACGAAGCATTGTAAACAGGCTGCAAGGCCTCGAGTCTCATCTGTTTGTTTTGAGTATGTGTACAACTATTATAAACCCATTTACTTTATAATCAAAATATGTCCCAATGATGTTGTTGTTCAATATTCCTTGCACAAGAGAATTTGTGCTTCAAAGGCTCGTTCGGTTCGCAAAAAGAATTTAAAGAGATATCATTTTCAAAGAATGGGAAATTAAAGATTTTTTATTCTTCTCGTGTTTGATAATTCTGGGAAAGTAACGAGAAAATACTCCTTTACTTTCTTCCTCATGTTTAATTTGTGTAGGAATGGAAAACAAACTTTGTTTAGTTTCCAATTATAACCTAATTAGAAATATGAAATAAACAAAACATAACAAAAAAATAATACCAAGAGTGATAAAATTGTATTTCTAAATTGTTAATGGGGACAAATTGGTCATGAAAAAAAATTAATACTTGTCTTTTGTTTTCCATGGGAATGAAAAATGAAACTCAAGGGGGATGAAGGGTTTCATTTTCCCCCATCTTCTCCTTTGTGCCTGGAAATCATTTCCTATGCATGGACTAGGCTTGCTAAACATGAGAAATCATTGATTTTCCATTCCCAAGCCCAATTTTCCCATAAACCGAACACACCCCAAATGCCATGGCATATCGCCTAATATTCCTCCAACAGACAAATTATCTCAATTCCCTTTTGGCTTTATGCTAGGCCAAAACAAGTTTTCTTATATTATTATATAAGTTTAGTTGACTAGTTTCTAATCGGAAATGCTATAATGAGGGGGTTTAGTTAACAAATTTAGAACACTTTCAACCAACCAAGATAAAAATCACAATTGACAACTTAGCTTCACATTATTGATCAGAAGGTCATTGCATATAATAGGTTTTACGTGTCATCAAGTCTGAAACTTGGATTATTATTATTTATTCTTATTCATCAATACAATAAACTGTGTCTAGATCTCCTCCAGAAAAGTGAAAACTAAACGCCACTAGACTAAACGATCATTGACAACTGAAGCTTAGAACAATGTCACGTGGCAGCGGAAAATGATTTTCTCTCGGAATTAGTGGAAGGAAGGAGGAAGCTGTCCCTCAAGGAAAGATGAGATCAAGGTGAGTGCTCGTTGAGGTTGGTTGCTGGGAACCATGATCCCAGCTCCCCTCACAGTAGCAAACGTCAACCCTTCGTACCCAACCACATATCCTCCAACCTGCATTGCCATATACACCAACATGAATACCGTGAGGAAATTAAGTAAGTGCCCCTCATATATGAATTAATTACTTGCTAGCCCTTCAGTATATGAATCAAATATTACGTACCTCTCTAATATTAGAGTACCATGCCCTCCATGGAGTCTTGATGGGTAAGTTGAGGATGTGCAGGGCGTATCTAGAAGATGTGACTGAAAAGAACCCATCGGTGTCTCCACTGTAATTAAGTTGCATTTGACATAAAAACTAATTAGTTACCTTAATTATGAATTAATTTACCATATACATAATATTATTGTAATCTAATTCATGTTTGTTAAATTAAATATATACAGCCAGCCATGCATGGAGTTTCTGAGCTTAATGAATCCAAGGCGCCTCACCTATATATCCAAAAACTTATCCCACTTTGTATGATCTGTTGTATTGTGGGTAGCATGGTGTCTGGGCTGTCCGTCCAATCAGTATCACTAGAGCAAACAAACAAAAAAGTTTACTTCTTAGATATGTATATATAGAGAGAAAGCTTTAGTTGAGAGATCCCTCAAATAATTTATTTGAGGGACACTCTTGTAAGACCCACTTCATATTGTATTTTATTAATCCAAACCATCTATTTTGTGGATATGCATTCAAAGATCATCTCTACAAAAAATCATTTTAATCCGATATCATTTCACCACTCAATTAAATTATTGAAAGTTTAGTACTTTCTTGAAGCACCGTGTTCATTGATTTTGTATGACACAATTGGATGTCGAAACGGTTTCGATTTGTCTAATTTTTAGATATATATATTCAGATGATGTATATATATTCGAATAATATATATATATATACCTGCAAGCTGACCACTTTGTAGGTTTAACATGAAGAGCTGCCTGCACCTCGGGAAGGTTTAGATAGCCCTCGACATAGGAGACGGAGCATGGATCAAAATCATCAACCTGATAATGTAAACACATGCATGATGCATCATATAATTGATATCTTACTTGATTCATATATAATTAATTCTATTTACAAGCCCCAATTTGCTCTAATGGAGTAACAATATTATTGCATATAGGATAACAATAAATTAATATTTTATTGTGTTCCTTCCTGCAGTATTATATGTATATTATTTTGTTAAAATCAGGTTTGGAGACTTACAGAAGCAGTTGAGACAGATTTGGGTTGTGAATCTTGTGATGTTTTGCAAATTGGAGCGTAGATGTTGGAAAGATCAATATCCTCTCCAACCTCCTCGAATGCTTGGTTCAGATATTCACCACACGCTTTGGATTGCTCACCTCCGAAGTCAGTAAGGTTACAATATTTATGTATCCCTGCATTGGTTTCGTCAGAGTTCAAAGCATGTGTCCACAAATTATCAAAAATGGCCAGTAGAGCGGTATTTTCATCGATCCAAGGATTCCCAATCTGCAAATAAAAAATACCCATGCATGAACACACGACTGTAAATATTGCAATGTTCTCTTGTTAGACTTATATATACTGCCACACAACACCGTCTCTTTAAAGAACATATAGAGTCTGGTTCTCTTGTAACACATATTTTCTCTAGTACTACAATGAAAAAAATTCAGCAATTAATCAACTACTCACTGCAACTCCTTTGAGATTGATTTTTGTTTGGTTTGTGATGTTGTTGTTGGAGAGAATGGTGTATGCAAGTTCAGGTGCGTAATGACCAGCATAGCTCTCTCCAGTGATGAAGAAATCACTGTCTTTGTATTGAGGAAACCTCTCCAGCCAGTTCACAAGAAATGCATAAGAGTCCTGGGCCGTGATCTCATCACCCACGGTGTCGTAGTCAGACGATGTGTTCGAATACGAAAACCCAGTTCCTAATGGAGTCTCCAAGAAGAGGACGTTTGCCGCTGCCATCCATTTTTAGTGGAAATTAATTAAGAACTTGTATTGATTAATTAATTAATTAGCACATAATTTAAATTAGTACCGTTGTTCCAAGCATAATCATTAGGAATTAGTGTCTTGTTATCGTTGCCGACTCTGAATGGTCCCAGTTCTTGTAAGGCTCCATATCCAAAAGCCGAGCATCCTCCAGGTCCTGTAATCAGTTGTAATTAATGAAACTAATTTTTTCATAATAATAATAATGAATATAATATTGTTATTTACCTCCATGTAACGATAGCACCAGAGGATTGCTTGAAGAATTATTTGCCTCGACAAAGTAATAGAACAAAGCTCTCCCAGCTGTAGGGTCCACAGTAACATAGCCTGCATATTGATTGAAATTTACTTCTCCAGCAGGTTGCCCTGGCAAAGCCTCAATCTTATCAGCCTCCATTAACCCTTCTTGGGAGCCAACGTACACAGGAGAGTATAAGCCATCCAATGATTTAGGGTTTCCAGCAGATTTGCCAGACTTAATCAACTTCTTAATGAGGTTGTTAGTTTGGTAATTAGCATTGCATGATATGCTAGAGATGGAGAGGAGCAACAAACATGTAAGCAAGGAAAGCTTCATCTTTCAAGTCCTTGCTTACAATACTTAATGCTAATTAGAATTTATAGACCTAATCTGAAACTTGGGACGAGATTACTTAGGCGTTTGGTTGTATAATTAACTGATAATTAATACAGCATTGTCTCAAAAGAGAATGTCGAAGTCATATCCAGCCTAGACTTATACAGAAATTAATAGTTACAAGAATATTCTGACAAATTAATGCGACGACATGAACAATCTATGATACGAAGCATTGTAAACAGGCTGCAAGGCCGCGAGTCTCATCTGTTTGTTTTGAGTGAGTGTACAACTATTATAAACCCATTTACTTTATAATCAAAATATGTCCCATAACTTTGATGTTGTTGTTCAATATTCCTTGCACAAGAAAATTTGTGCTTCAAAGGCTCGTTCGGTTCACGAAAAGAATTTAAAGACATATTATTTTTAAAGAATGGAAAATTAAAGATTTTTAATTCTTCTCATGTTTGATAATGCTGGGAAAGTAACGAGAAAATACCACTTTACTTTCTTTCTCATGTTTAATTTGTGTAGGAATGGAAAACAAACTTTGTTTAGTTTTCCAATTATAACCTAATTAGAAATATGAAATAAACAAAACAAAACAAAAAAAGAATACCAAGAGTGATAAAATTGTATTTCTAAATTGTTAATGGGGACAAATTGGTCATGAAAAAAAATTAATACTTGTCTTTGTTTTCCCTGGGAATGAAAAATGAAACTCAAGGGGATGAAGGGTTTCATTTTCCCCCATCTTCTCCTTTGTGCCAGGAAATCATTTCCTATGCCTGGACTAGGCTTACTTAACATAAGAAATAAGTGATTTTCCATTCCCAAGCCCAATTTTACCATAAACCAAACACACCCCAAATGCCATGGCATATCTTCTAATATTCCTCCAACAGACCCTTCCTTGACCAGGACCTAGTTGCATGCCTTGGACTAGGCTTACTTAACATAAGAAATAAGTGATTTTCCATTCCCAAGCCCAATTTTACCATAAACCAAACACACCCCAAATGCCATGGCATATCTTCTAATATTCCTCCAACAGACAAATTATCTCAATTCCCTTTTTGCTTTATGCTAGGCCAAAACAAGTTTTCTTGTATTATCATATAATTTTAGTTGATTAGTTTCTAATCGGAAATGCTATAACGAGGGGATTTAGGGTGAGGGATTCAATCCCACTATCCCACTGAGAATGCGACAACTTCTGCTTTCAAATTGAAACCCAAGAACTGGCCGACCCATAAAATTATTTTTTGGGTTATCTTAGTACTTTCTGAATAAAAGCAGTTTTTTAACCACTAGCTACAAGTCATTTGCTTCAAAGTAAATTTTTTATTAACAACTTTGATGTGCCTCTAATAAATTGGACTGAAAGTTGAGCCCATAACTTGCTGTTAGCTACAAGCCCTTTGCTTCAAAGTAAATTTTTTATTAACAACTTTGATGTGCCTCTAATAAATTGGACTGAAAGTTGAGCCCATAACTTGCTGACCATACATTCTGGGCCAATTTTACCTTAACTGTTATGAACAAGCCTGCTAACAAGTTGGACCACAGATTTATTCATGAGATACAAAATTGGACCCAACAATTCAATCACTACACCGAACACTCAGAAGAAGATTTTCCAAGTTCACCTGAATTAATTGCTCAAATGTAAAACGAATTCGTTTTACTTCATCGACAATGACTACGTTTGCGTTTGGAATTTGGAGAGAAGAGAAGTGGTATGAACACAAACAAACAGGGACCAGGGACCAGGGAGCGGCACTCCTGGTTCGAGCTGGCAAACCCAAAAAGAAAAAGAGAAAAAAAAACCATAGAAGCTGAAAATGACAAGTCAATGAAACTTTGAACAACCTCTCAATTCTCTGTTTGTTTTACATGCAGCATTGTCTCATTTCCCGTCTTCATTACCTGAGAAATCATTGCAGATCTTTCACAAGCAAGAAGCCAAAAGCTAAACCTAAATATAATTCACTTCTTTTTTATTAATTTATATATTGTAGAAGGTAAAACGTCTGTTTTAACATGTTAGATTGGGTTTCCTAATGTCCCCTCAAGTATTAACAATGCACAAACAGATAAAAACATAACTTATAAACAAAAAAAATATCCCCAACTTTCACCATAAAAAATATAGGCTACTTTTTAAAAAGGAGATGTTCGTCCTTCCCGCAAATCATGATTTGATATATGTACAAAAATAATTCATAAAAACACATAATGAAAAACTTCTACACACATGTCAAACTGTCATTAATAGGAATATAAGAGTCCCTACTTATAGAGGAAGGAGAGACGTATTTTCCAAAAAAATAAATGCATTATAAATGTAGTTTCCACTTTTTTTTTTTCTTTTGTGAAGTTCTCTCATGGAGATCTGCTCTGTCCTGTGATTAAAAAGACAAAGTAAATTATGTAGATTAAAAGGATGCAAAAATGGTCCAGCTAGCTGGCAAACTTTTGTCTTGTGAGAGCTATGAACTGAACCCAGTGGACATTATTTTTACCCAAGTGTGAAAAGCAAACTAAATCTTTCACTTTATATTCTGTTACTTTACTGTAACTTGTAAGATCTTGAGCTTTATTATCCAATAATCCAATAATGGAGATTTCTTGCCATGCTGGTGTCACTTCAGCTGGTCTAAGAGTGGACCCTTTTCTATAGGAGACAGCCAAACAGCAATTTGACCTCAAATTAAAAACAAGCAAGGAGGAGAGGCCCGAGCCACAGTAGCGTAGCTTTGATTCTTATATGGTGGACCTAAAAACATAGACTTTTTAACCATTTTTCTTTTTTTTCCACTTTTTGTTTTGGCCAGATATGCATCGAAAAAAAGACCCCAGAAACCCATGGCATGTATGTGCAGAGTAAAACAGAGGTCCCAGCTACCCAAAGCCCACACCCAGCTTTAGACCAACATTCCATGATTATATGTATGCCATTTATTTCCTAAATTTCTTCCACCATCAATTTCGCGAATTATGTAAGTAGGAGCTCCTACATTCCTGCTCATTGCAGTGTGACATGTTTTGATGAATTATTTTTGCATATGTGTCAAATTGTTATTCGCATGAATGAGGAGTATCTCCTTATAGGAAAGGTACGGAGGAAAGTAGTATCTTTTCCAAAAAGATGATATTTTGCTCTTGGCATAAATTCATGTTCCCAACATCCCAGAACAATTGGGTAGGTTAGATTAATTTCATAATTGCTTAAATGAAAATGTGTCGGTTTAATTACATGGTAAAAACTACAGAAACTATAAGAGAGAAGAAAAGGAATTAGATGAAAGCTACGAGTTCTCTGGATAGGCCTCAATCAACTTCAGTACTAATCAAAGTCCCCCCACACTGAAAAGCTCTAAAAAGCAGATGAAAAATAAGCACTTTAAAAAAAAGATGGAAAAGAAACAAACATGGCTGAGTGGATGGCTTTTGTGCAAGAAATGACTTGTGGGGGTTGGCTTGCATATAAAAGGCCCTCAGCTGAAGCAGGGCCACCGTCAGCTTCTGCAACCATTGGAAGAACTCCCAATCAAGATTATCAACTATTTTTGGCATATGTTTTATATTCTATCTGATTATGACTAAAAACCCTTTTTCAGTTTTCACTTAACTTTATAATAAAAGTAATTTTCATTTAATTAGACAGGTTCTTGTTGTATTAAGCAGCTGTTTATGTGTGTCTGATCTGATGCAGAATCTAATTCTCAGCAATTATAAATTTATAAAATTTCCTTCCTCCCACTAGCATTTTCCCCATTTTGTTTATGGGTTGGTCAAACTGAAAATCAATACATATAATTTGGATTAACGTGCATGGAATTAGAATATGAAGATGGAACAACAGCAAATCTATTCTAGCTTGTCACACAAATTCATAAAATAAAAAAAGCTTCCAATTAAATCACTTTGGTGATTTGATATGCCCCAAAGCAACCTCAACCAAAGAATTAATTAATTTTAAGCCCTTATAGTTACTTACTTCCACATTGCAATCACGTTGAACCCACTTGGTTCAATTATTTATAGATTGATTAATTTGATTGAATGATGAAGACTACCAGTCGAAAATGACGTTTACTTACCATAATTTGAACGAAAAGTGTCCACTTAAACATTACTTTTGATCAAATTCCAACTATCCATACTTTAAGAAAGTGTTTATATCATAATTCTCATATTCAAACCCTCATGACATCATCGTTGTGTGTGTGAGAAGTCTCTCTTTCTTGTAGTTTAGACTATTGCTTGTAGTCGCCGACTTTTTCCACCTACGTACATTTTCTGGCCCCATGACATTATAGTTGTGTGTGTGAGAAATTCTCATTCCCAATAGTTTAGACTATTGCTTGTACTCACCGACTTTTTCCACCTACGTACATTTTCTGGAAAGACTGTTTCCAACTTCTTCAGGAAATCCAGAAGAAAAGAAAAAGACTCAATTACCAATGTTTTGCACACAAAAGGAAAAATAATTTGCACACGAAAGGTAGCCGATCCCACTTATTCTGAGTTGTTTCACTTTTACTGGTCCACCTACTCCTACACCAAAATGACGAAACTACACTCATACTAAATGGTGGCCCATTTCACAATAATTAGCCGTTAATCTAATCTCATAATTAAGTGAAGCATTAAAATAGGTCTCGTCATCAGTCACCACCACCCCATGTTTTGCTTGCTTGGGATCAGTCTCACGTGGCTGTGGTGCTGTGTCCATATCTTCTGGTTTTTCTTTTGCTCATTTTAAGTGTTGGACCATTTCTTTGGATTTCTTTTTTCTTTTTATAATTCACCATCTGTTGGGATTTATTTATTTATTTTAATTAAGAAACGTTTAGAAGAGGGAGAGGGTACCTTACGGATTTAATTATTTTATGTTTACAGAATGTGTCATTTTGCTTGCACTAACATATTTTTCCACCCCATCAACATCATGACAGCTTCCTTTCAGCACACCCCTTCCAATATTCCATGTGTGTATGATCATCTCCTATATCACAATCCAAACCATTATTATTATATTATATTACTAAAACTTTTTAAATATTTTTATTTATTTAATATATACTCATAGATAATTAAGAAGATTAATGTGGATTTGACCCCATCCCTTCATCTTTTATTTGTAAATGGTAACGAGAAGAACAAGTATGAATGAAATCTTGAATGGTTCAATGCAAGCAATCCAGGAGGAGTGTAGTGTTCATATTTGATTTGTTTTTCATAATCAATTGAAAACCCATTTTAGCTAGTTGGCAAACATGTGATTTGGGCAGCTTTTGCCTTCAAATAAACACCCCCACAGCCCTTATTTAATGCATACACCTCATATACTTGTCACTTGAATTTTAGAACCAAGAAATAAATCCCATATCTTTTTTCAGTCAACTTCATCACCTCCTTGTTAATATGAAGAACATAAATAAATACAAACCTTTTATTTTAATATTTTGGTAACACAATTTATGTCTCCCATTTAATTTTGATACTCATGGCATCATTCAGGGGCATTTTTGGAAATACCCAAAAAAAACTGAAAAATAAAAGAAAGAGAGGAAAACAGGGGAAAGGGGAAAGAAGAAGATGTAAAAGCAGCAGAGTCGGTGCTACGTTGCAGGAGCTTAAAAGAGAAAGGTGCACGTTGGTTCATGATGACGCAAACAAGTGAGCACCATAGTATTAGTGCGTGTGCTGTGCTTTGCTTGTAGCTCTGTACGGCTCCACATTGCCTTGCCCTTTAATCTTTATGCACATCCAAACCCAATTCACCTTTCACTAAAGCCTCTCTCTCTCTCTCTCTCTCTCTCTCTCTCTCTCTCTCTCTCTCTCTCTCTCTCTCTCTCTCTCTCTCTCTCTCTCTCTCTCTCTCTCTCTCTCTCTCTCTCTCTCTCTCTCTCTCTCTCTCTCTCTCTCTCTCTCTCTCTCTCTCTCTCTCTCTCTCTCTCTCTCTCTCTCTCTCTCTCTCTCTCTCTCTCTCTCTCTCTCTCTCTCTCTCTCTCTCTCTCTCTCTCTCTCTCTCTCTCTCTCTCTCTCTCTCTCTCTCTCTCTCTCTCTCTCTCTCTCTCTCTCTCTCTCTCTCTCTCTCTCTCTCTCTCTCTCTCTCTCTCTCTCTCTCTCTCTCTCTCTCTCTCTCTCTCTCTCTCTCTCTCTCTCTCTCTCTCTCTCTCTCTCTCTCTCTCTCTCTCTCTCTCTCTCTCTCTCTCTCTCTCTCTCTCTCTCTCTCTCTCTCTCTCTCTCTCTCTCTCTCTCTCTCTCTCTCTCTCTCTCTCTCTCTCTCTCTCTCTCTCTCTCTCTCTGAGTCTTGTGATGAAGCTATTATAAATCAAGCGGTGTGGAAGATAGAGATTAGACAAACAGGAAATGACCCAGTTTGTGTTTTAGTACTGTACATTTGTAGGTGGACTTGCTTTTCATTCAGTTTTGCATATTCGAAAGCATCCCAGCTCAAAGTCCCGAGCTTTTGTTACATTGGTTTGGTTCGTTTTGCATTTGGCTTCACCATGAACGTGGAAGGCAGGGATTGGACTGTTTGGTGCCATTGAAGTTTGTCTTGGGTTTGTTGAAAGGAATGAACTTTTTTTCTGTAAAAGGGTCTGAATCTCAACTCTATTTATAGCAATTCAACGTAGTGTCTTAATTGAATTTGCCCACTTCAAAGTCTGTTTCTTTCATGAATTTAATGAAGTTCTTGGATTTGGTAACATTGGTTTGATCACAAAATCACAACTTTTGCAGATATTAAAAGAAGAATGAATACCAGGGTGAAGACAAGGCTGCAGTCTATGAAGCCTCCTCTGAAGAATGAAAAAGTAATCTTACTTTGAACTCTGAGCCAAGCTAAGCTATGTGCTTTGGACATTTTTTTAATCATAGTTTTCGAAAAACGGTTTTCACTGTGGGAGGAGCCTATCCCATATTGCCATGGAGCGCATAATTATTTCCATTTGAGCTAAGCTTTAACCGTTTTCACCACAAAATATGGCTTCAAATTCGATGAGGAGGCTCCCAAAATTCTTAAATTGCTGGCATCTTTGGATAGATTTCCGAGATGGGGTCTTCCATTTCAATCTGAGTAATTGTTTATCTTCATTCTTTTTCTCAATTTTGGTCATTGGCTTGACTCTGACCATCCCCTGTTTCACAAAATTTTCTCAGGAAGGTAAATTGTTTTCTTGCCCAATTCTTCATTGTCCCTACAGGAGACATTAAAGTTTGCTTCTTTGTTTCATTTTCATTATGGGTTATAAATTTCTCTGATTTCCCACTAGTTCTTCTCTTCTCTTATCTTATCTTCCCAGTAGACTATTTTCTTGTGGGAGCTAATTGTTGTATATATTTAAAGGAGAAGGTAAAAATGCAAGGGAGTAAGCTAAGGGATACCGCAAAAACAATCACCAATGGACGAGCTTCAAGCAGAGAGAGAAAATTGGCTTTACAACAAGACGTATGTTTGAATTTTTATTTTTATTTTTTAAGTTTTGTGATTTCATATCCTTTCTATCTTCTATTGATTATTGAGTATAACTTTCTAATTTTCTTAGGTTGATAAGCTGAAGAAGAAGCTTAGACATGAAGAGAATGTACACAGAGCTTTGCAGAGGGCATTTACTAGACCCTTGGGAGCTCTACCTCGTCTACCTCCTTATCTGCCTCCTTATGTTAGTAATTCACTATAATTTTTCATATAATATATAAATTCATGGAAACTATGAATTTACGTCAATGCTCTTGAAAATCGCAGTTTAAGAAAGTAACTTGAACTAATGAAGTTAGAGGAGTTGAAGGTAATCTCAATTTTTCATTGACACTTTGAAACTCTGTAGACATTGGAGCTTCTAGCCGAAGTGGCTGTTCTGGAAGAGGAGGTGGTTCGGCTAGAAGAACAGCTAGTGCATTTTAGGAAGGATTTGTATCAGGAAGCTGTCAACATATCAACCTCCAAGAGGAAAATGGAAACCTCAGCTGATTTGTGTGATTCATACCCCATAAAGAATCCCAAACAGGAGCAACCCAAATCTCAAGCTCAAAGAGCAAACAATTCTACCAATGCCACTGAGAAGCATTGGCCATCCCCTTCTGGTAAGCTATAGGTTCAACCTAATTAGCTGTAAAATCCCTTGTCCATTTCTAGTGTTAGAAAATTCGGAGCAGGCCATGAAATTCTTAATGTTCTTTGTTGCAATTTCAGATGAAAAGCAGGGTAAAGAGAACCAATCTTCTAACAATTCTACGAAGAAGAAGAACGAGAAATCTTTGATCCATAAAGCTCAGGTTAGGACTCCAGTGAAGAGACCTCCAATTGATCACAAAACAGCAGAAAAGCGTTCAGATCCTCAGAAACTACAGGTACATACTAAAATTACCACATTTTCATCAAGTTACTCAAACTCATTTCAGTGCCATTAACTTGGTTTCTTTTGTGTCTTATGTTCAGTTAGAATATAGAGTCATGGACCAAGAAAGTGCACAAGTACCGGACAAAGAGATGTCAGGAGATGAAAGTCCCAACAAAATTTCTGAAAACATTCTGAAGTGCTTGTCAAGCATTCTTATGAGAATGAGTTCAGCAAAGAACTGGGGCACTGCCGAAAGGTTACCTTCCTTCTCAACATTAGCAGCTCAAGAAAATAATGAACCAAAAGAGTCTTGGGATCCTTATGCTATTTGTTCCGAATTTGGACGAAGAGATATCGGTCCATATAAGCAATTACATGCAATTGAAGCTGAAACTATTAATCCAAACCGAACAGCAAATGCTTTGTTCCTACTCCGAAGATTGAAGTAAGTTTTCTGTTCTGAATGTTAGGTTGGTTTTCCACCTTTTGTATGATATGATGATAATTCTAAGAGTTAAAGTCATTTCATTGGCTGAATTCTCAGGCTATTGCTCCGAAAACTTGCGTCTGTAAATTTACAACGTCTCAGTCATCAGGAGAAGCTTGCATTCTGGATCAATATCTACAATTCCTGCATGATGAATGTATGAAATAGTTTATGTTCTATGTACATTCAAATATTTGCCTTTGTTAAAAAATTATTTCATCTGCTTCTCTTCTACAATCCTGCAGGCATTCCTAGAGCACGGAATACCTGAGAGTCCTGAGATAATTGTTGCACTCATGCAGAAGGTATGGAATATCCAAGATCCTAGAGCTCCTGTTTATAATTGCAAATACAATTTTTCACAAATTCCATTTATATGTATAAAGCAAGTGATTAAAAATACTTCTGCTGGTCAATAATTCATACTGTTGTATTTCTTCTTACTCAGGCAACAATAAATGTTGGAGGACACTTGTTAAATGCAATAACTATTGAACACTTTATCTTGAGACTGCCTTATCACTCAAAATATGTAAGTAGTGTTGACTTGTATACACAGAGATTTTTATTCTGCCCATCCCTTCATCTTTTATTTGTAAATGGTAACGAGAAGAACAAGTATGAATGAAATCTTGAATGGTTCAATGCAAGCAATCCAGGAGGAGTGTAGTGTTCATATTTGATTTGTTTTTCATAATCAATTGAAAACCCATTTTAGCTAGTTGGCAAACATGTGATTTGGGCAGCTTTTGCCTTCAAATAAACACCCCCACAGCCCTTATTTAATGCATACACCTCATATACTTGTCACTTGAATTTTAGAACCAAGAAATAAATCCCATATCTTTTTTCAGTCAACTTCATCACCTCCTTGTTAATATGAAGAACATAAATAAATACAAACCTTTTATTTTAATATTTTGGTAACACAATTTATGTCTCCCATTTAATTTTGATACTCATGGCATCATTCAGGGGCATTTTTGGAAATACCCAAAAAAAACTGAAAAATAAAAGAAAGAGAGGAAAACAGGGGAAAGGGGAAAGAAGAAGATGTAAAAGCAGCAGAGTCGGTGCTACGTTGCAGGAGCTTAAAAGAGAAAGGTGCACGTTGGTTCATGATGACGCAAACAAGTGAGCACCATAGTATTAGTGCGTGTGCTGTGCTTTGCTTGTAGCTCTGTACGGCTCCACATTGCCTTGCCCTTTAATCTTTATGCACATCCAAACCCAATTCACCTTTCACTAAAGCCTCTCTCTCTCTCTCTCTCTCTCTCTCTCTCTCTCTCTCTGAGTCTTGTGATGAAGCTATTATAAATCAAGCGGTGTGGAAGATAGAGATTAGACAAACAGGAAATGACCCAGTTTGTGTTTTAGTACTGTACATTTGTAGGTGGACTTGCTTTTCATTCAGTTTTGCATATTCGAAAGCATCCCAGCTCAAAGTCCCGAGCTTTTGTTACATTGGTTTGGTTCGTTTTGCATTTGGCTTCACCATGAACGTGGAAGGCAGGGATTGGACTGTTTGGTGCCATTGAAGTTTGTCTTGGGTTTGTTGAAAGGAATGAACTTTTTTTCTGTAAAAGGGTCTGAATCTCAACTCTATTTATAGCAATTCAACGTAGTGTCTTAATTGAATTTGCCCACTTCAAAGTCTGTTTCTTTCATGAATTTAATGAAGTTCTTGGATTTGGTAACATTGGTTTGATCACAAAATCACAACTTTTGCAGATATTAAAAGAAGAATGAATACCAGGGTGAAGACAAGGCTGCAGTCTATGAAGCCTCCTCTGAAGAATGAAAAAGTAATCTTACTTTGAACTCTGAGCCAAGCTAAGCTATGTGCTTTGGACATTTTTTTAATCATAGTTTTCGAAAAACGGTTTTCACTGTGGGAGGAGCCTATCCCATATTGCCATGGAGCGCATAATTATTTCCATTTGAGCTAAGCTTTAACCGTTTTCACCACAAAATATGGCTTCAAATTCGATGAGGAGGCTCCCAAAATTCTTAAATTGCTGGCATCTTTGGATAGATTTCCGAGATGGGGTCTTCCATTTCAATCTGAGTAATTGTTTATCTTCATTCTTTTTCTCAATTTTGGTCATTGGCTTGACTCTGACCATCCCCTGTTTCACAAAATTTTCTCAGGAAGGTAAATTGTTTTCTTGCCCAATTCTTCATTGTCCCTACAGGAGACATTAAAGTTTGCTTCTTTGTTTCATTTTCATTATGGGTTATAAATTTCTCTGATTTCCCACTAGTTCTTCTCTTCTCTTATCTTATCTTCCCAGTAGACTATTTTCTTGTGGGAGCTAATTGTTGTATATATTTAAAGGAGAAGGTAAAAATGCAAGGGAGTAAGCTAAGGGATACCGCAAAAACAATCACCAATGGACGAGCTTCAAGCAGAGAGAGAAAATTGGCTTTACAACAAGACGTATGTTTGAATTTTTATTTTTATTTTTTAAGTTTTGTGATTTCATATCCTTTCTATCTTCTATTGATTATTGAGTATAACTTTCTAATTTTCTTAGGTTGATAAGCTGAAGAAGAAGCTTAGACATGAAGAGAATGTACACAGAGCTTTGCAGAGGGCATTTACTAGACCCTTGGGAGCTCTACCTCGTCTACCTCCTTATCTGCCTCCTTATGTTAGTAATTCACTATAATTTTTCATATAATATATAAATTCATGGAAACTATGAATTTACGTCAATGCTCTTGAAAATCGCAGTTTAAGAAAGTAACTTGAACTAATGAAGTTAGAGGAGTTGAAGGTAATCTCAATTTTTCATTGACACTTTGAAACTCTGTAGACATTGGAGCTTCTAGCCGAAGTGGCTGTTCTGGAAGAGGAGGTGGTTCGGCTAGAAGAACAGCTAGTGCATTTTAGGAAGGATTTGTATCAGGAAGCTGTCAACATATCAACCTCCAAGAGGAAAATGGAAACCTCAGCTGATTTGTGTGATTCATACCCCATAAAGAATCCCAAACAGGAGCAACCCAAATCTCAAGCTCAAAGAGCAAACAATTCTACCAATGCCACTGAGAAGCATTGGCCATCCCCTTCTGGTAAGCTATAGGTTCAACCTAATTAGCTGTAAAATCCCTTGTCCATTTCTAGTGTTAGAAAATTCGGAGCAGGCCATGAAATTCTTAATGTTCTTTGTTGCAATTTCAGATGAAAAGCAGGGTAAAGAGAACCAATCTTCTAACAATTCTACGAAGAAGAAGAACGAGAAATCTTTGATCCATAAAGCTCAGGTTAGGACTCCAGTGAAGAGACCTCCAATTGATCACAAAACAGCAGAAAAGCGTTCAGATCCTCAGAAACTACAGGTACATACTAAAATTACCACATTTTCATCAAGTTACTCAAACTCATTTCAGTGCCATTAACTTGGTTTCTTTTGTGTCTTATGTTCAGTTAGAATATAGAGTCATGGACCAAGAAAGTGCACAAGTACCGGACAAAGAGATGTCAGGAGATGAAAGTCCCAACAAAATTTCTGAAAACATTCTGAAGTGCTTGTCAAGCATTCTTATGAGAATGAGTTCAGCAAAGAACTGGGGCACTGCCGAAAGGTTACCTTCCTTCTCAACATTAGCAGCTCAAGAAAATAATGAACCAAAAGAGTCTTGGGATCCTTATGCTATTTGTTCCGAATTTGGACGAAGAGATATCGGTCCATATAAGCAATTACATGCAATTGAAGCTGAAACTATTAATCCAAACCGAACAGCAAATGCTTTGTTCCTACTCCGAAGATTGAAGTAAGTTTTCTGTTCTGAATGTTAGGTTGGTTTTCCACCTTTTGTATGATATGATGATAATTCTAAGAGTTAAAGTCATTTCATTGGCTGAATTCTCAGGCTATTGCTCCGAAAACTTGCGTCTGTAAATTTACAACGTCTCAGTCATCAGGAGAAGCTTGCATTCTGGATCAATATCTACAATTCCTGCATGATGAATGTATGAAATAGTTTATGTTCTATGTACATTCAAATATTTGCCTTTGTTAAAAAATTATTTCATCTGCTTCTCTTCTACAATCCTGCAGGCATTCCTAGAGCACGGAATACCTGAGAGTCCTGAGATAATTGTTGCACTCATGCAGAAGGTATGGAATATCCAAGATCCTAGAGCTCCTGTTTATAATTGCAAATACAATTTTTCACAAATTCCATTTATATGTATAAAGCAAGTGATTAAAAATACTTCTGCTGGTCAATAATTCATACTGTTGTATTTCTTCTTACTCAGGCAACAATAAATGTTGGAGGACACTTGTTAAATGCAATAACTATTGAACACTTTATCTTGAGACTGCCTTATCACTCAAAATATGTAAGTAGTGTTGACTTGTATACACAGAGATTTTTATTCTGGTTTTTTTCTTTTTTTTCTTTTCCTTTTTTTTAATGGGGGGAGTGGGGATGGGCAAGCATGAAAGGAGAGGATTTCTCATCAAAATTTTAACTCCTGACCAGACCTTATCCAAGGGTACAAAAAATGATGAGAAGACAGCAAGAAGCATTTTTGGATTGGAATTATCTGAACCTTTGGTCACATTTGCACTATCATGTGGAAGCTGGTCCTCCCCTGCTGTAAGTTTACACATGGAATAAATAAATAAAACTGCATTTGTACAAATTTCTTCACAGTTTCAAAGTTCCAAGAAACTGACATCAGTAATAAATGGTCTTCTGCCAAATGTAGGTGAGAGTGTATACTGCATCCCAAGTTGAGAATGAACTGGAAGTGGCAAAAAGAGAGTACTTACAAGCTGCGGTTGGAATTTCATCAACTAAATTTGCAATTCCAAAACTCCTGAACTGGTATCTGCCTGATTTTGCAAAGGATATAGAGTCACTGCTAGACTGGATCTGCCTTCAGCTACCAAGTGAACTGGGAAAAGAAGCAATTAAGCTGCTTGAAAGGGGGAAAAATGAGCCTCATTCACAGGTTGTTCAAATTATACCTTATGAGTTCAGTTTCAGGTACCTCCTGTCCACATGATCAAGTTTTTGCCCTCTCTGCAAAATATTGTTTTACATGATTGTAAGGGTGTTCGGGGTTGATTTTGTACATAGCTATAGACATATATCAAAATTACATGAATAATATCTGCTCTCTTGTAACTTGTAAGTAATCATGAGATCAATGCATCGGGTTTATATCAAAAGCACGGGCTATGATCGCAAGAGACTTATAGCTTAAGTAGTCAAAAGTATTTACTTTTACTCTCGACGTCCTTTGTTTCCATGCTCTAGAATATTCATCAGAACCAAGTGGGGTAAGTGGTCCTTAACATTTGTCACTTTCACGGCATGGATCTATCAGCCACATCGAAGTAAAGAACAAACCCTGCTTTTCAAGGTCGAGGGGTCACTGCCAAAAGCATAAAAATGACAAGCCTGCAACTTTCCAAGCACTCATACAAAGTTAAACTATTTTCATCGGACCATAATTAAACAAGTTAATCATGTTTAAACAAGATTTTCTGTTGCTGTTAATTTAAAGGCTTGGAGATTATATGTTGTGTCTTCTCTGCTGGAAAGGACTTTAGTATTCCGACCAAAAAAAAGAAAAAAAAAGAAAGGACTTTAGTATGGCACAAGTTTGTACGCCCGTGATAAATCTGGATCCACCTCTCACTGCCCAAAATAGTACGGGAGGTTCGTATCATACCAAAACCAATGGGTCCGCGTGGACTTTGAGGCCCAAACCCAATTAGTGGCTGTATCCTGTAGGGCCCCAATATCTTTTTGCAGATAAATTTGGTCGTCTTGTTAAACCTTGGACAATGTTATCTTCTAAGCTACTAGGTACTTTTGGGCCCTCCATTTTACTTGGCGGGAAAATTGCTCAAGCAATTTTGGCGGTAAAGGGTTTTTGGTTTTCTTATTTCCCCTTTTCACCTATCAACATTATATATCTTTGTTTACCTTTCCTATTGAAAGGGACAATAACATGCTAAACTCATACAAACTATACGGATGTTAAAACTTGGGCTCAAGATTTTTCCTTAGGAGAGCATTTGCTTCAAACCATTACACTAATGGGTCTTTTGCAATAATGCTCCAAACCACTATCAACATTAATCTTAACACGACACAATAAAAATGGCAATATAAATATTGGCTTAGTAAATACAGTCAAATTAATTATCAGCTATATGTCACGTGATGTTAGTGTTACCACAACAATTTATTATGTTTAGGCACAAAAAGATAGCAGCAGCATTATTGAAAGGGACAATAACATGCTAAACTCATACAAACTATACGAATGTTAAGACTTGGGCTCAAGATTTTTCCTTGGGAGAGCATTTGCTTCAAACCATTACACTAATGGGTCTTTTGCAATAATGCTCCAAATCACTATCAACATTAATCTTAACACGACACAATAAAAATGGCAATATAAATATTGGCTTAGTAAATACAGTCAAATTAATTATCAGCTATATGTCACGTGATGTTACTGTTACCACAATAATTTATTATGTTTAGGCACAAAAAGATAGCAGCAGCAGGCTAGCAAATAGCATGGCCCCAATCAAGAGTTAGAGCCCGACCCAATGGGATTGGTGAAGAATTTGTAGAATATGGATTGGCTGATGCTTAGGATTATACCCAAACCCAATCGTTTTTTCGGGATTGACATTTTCATGATCAAAGTTTATGATAAAATAATCCAAACCGTTGAAAACGAGGTAAAGAAGAAAGAAGAAAAGGGAAACGAATCCAACGAGATTCAGCACGTAAGGAGTTGAGAGATGTGTCGTAATATAAGGCTGTTGTCTAATATGGGAATACAGATTAGAAGATGCCAAATGGTTGTTGCATCATTTGAAAAGGCAATTTGATTTGATTTTATTTATGAATGAATGACATAATCCAACCAATTTAATCATCTGTATTATTTTATTTCCACATTCGAAAATTGAAAAACCCTCCCTCCACAAGAAGCCAAGCTGATCATGTTTCAAAGTCGTTATTAGATGTGTCTAGACAAAAGAACTGGTGAAACCTCACCATCTTCCATGTTTAATTAGCTTTGCTCAAACCAAAACCAGCACTCGTTGATTTGAAATCTGGGAGGCTTACAAACACACGGGTTCTACTTGTACTTCTTTTTTCTTTTCTTTTTTTCGATCGAAGTTAGTTGTTTGTCATGAGAGAAACTTCCTTGTCACGAAAGAAACATTCTTTTCATACTATATTCATATTTCTATATCTTTATTTATGCATGATTAATATGAGATGAAACGATAGACAAACACAATAGTGCATCACGCGTAGCGAAGTTATTTCCATATGCTTGGACATGAAACTTGAAAGGGGCATGTTTATTTTATGTGTTGTGTCTACTGTCAATGAGTCGAGCATTTTTTTGTTTTAATTTGCAGACACACGTACGAATACGGCTTGTTTTGAATTAAGTATGTTATTATATATATAGATTTGCACTCATGTGTGTATCAACCACATTTTGTTATTACTTTGATCAGCCAAGAAATTCAACTCCATGAGCTGTCTTCACTTCTAGATGGTCTTTTTTCTCAACTCTCATTTGTTTTATGAATAGATTTTTCAAATTACCCATATTTATTATTAGTGTATATATATATATATATTGTTAATCCTTCGTCAAACTATATTGTAAATTCAACTGGAGATCTTATTCCTTTTCCAAATATATCTACTTAATTTAGATTAAACAAAAAGAAGGAGGCAGCTAACTTTTCTCATTCATAAAAGACAATATAAGAGCTCCCACTGGGTTTTCATTTTACGTGGTTGTTCACTTGTGGCCTGCATATCAACCACGTATGTATAGGAATTTAGAAAGGGAATAAAAGACAATGCAAGAGCTCCCATTTATTTTCATTTTACAGCAGGTTTGTAGTTCAATTGATTAAGATTATTTATTTATGTATCGAAAATTATAAGTTTGAGAGTCCCCAATCTCCTATCACCTGTATATTTAAAAAAAATAGGAATTGACAACATAAATATATATGTCTCACAATACAAATCTTTTGACAATAAAATATATACTGCCCTAGTAAACATTATTGTCTCTACTGGCGGACCCAAGAATTTTTCAGGTGAGGGTCAACATTTAAAAGGCTAAAAGTATGTAAGGGAAATTCAAGTGCAAGAAATCTATGAACCCATCTACATTAGTCGACAAGGAAGAGAGAAACTTTGAATAAATAAACGTGAAATTTGCATAAAACAAAATTAAATTATAAGTTGAAAAACTAAGAAATGACATATGCCAAACAAGAAAGATTAAAGCTCATGGATATTTATTAAATAGAGATACACCATTAAGGGAATTTTGGGAGAAAACAAGTTTATGTGAAGCAAAAATCAAATTGAATACATATTACAAAGTCTCTTTCAAACATTTAATTGTACGCATGATAAGCACTAGCAAAGGGGCAAATTCCAGCCACCTCAAAGAATTTTCCGACAATGGGAGGTGCAGCTGCACCTCCTTGCTCATGTGTAATTAGGTCCGCCAGTGATTGTCTCTACCATCCACAAATAGACACATCGATCCAACCAAAATAATTTTCAAAACTAAAAGAGGGAGTCTTGGACGGCAAATACTTGTCCCTCTCAAAATATATTATATGTGATGAGCTCAAAACGTGCACCTACAAATTAATATGGCATTATTCTTGCAGCCTTAAGTTAAGACTAAATAGGTCGTCTGCATTGTCCAACCCCATGTGGTGTGTTGCATCTCTCCAAGCCTCCTATATATATTGCCACCGTAAAAAATGTGAATTTCATGGATAATGCGACATTAAAAGCAACAAGAAAATAATAATAAAAATTAATTAATTTCTGTATAAAGCTTGGTGAAATTATGGGCAGGGACAAAAATTGTGTGAGGAGGATTTATTGTGGACAGGTGTAAAAGGTGATAAGATTGTTCCCTACCAACTCTGTTTTTTGGCATCAAAAAATCAGAAAAAGGGGCTCTGGTTTGTGTCACAGCTTGAGATTGTTCGGTTAAATTTGTCAGCATTTAGATATTTTTGGGACCCAAAAAAGACAGATGTAGGTGCACCCAACAACATCAGTCTTAGACTCTTCCATGTTCCATTTATAAGATTTTCCCCTTAAATCTCATATTTTTCAAGAATTAAAAGCTTCAAATTCTAGAAGTCATTTGATTTTAGGCACGTTTATCAGCCATTAAACAAATCTTGAATTAATTCAACTTGGACAGATCTTCAGGTAGATGGGTATTTTTTTTAAATGGAACAATTGATTAGGCGAGATTAGCTCCTCAATATCGGCCATTAGTAAATGAGTATTAAAATGAAACAAAATATAATTAAATGGATGGATTAATTTACAATACATCAACAATATATTGTATTCTAACTAACGGGTAACCATCATCAGGCAAATTGATTTACATAATTAAATTTATTTTCCCTTAAATTTTACTTCTTCATCATCTCCAAGGGCAACCCAACTGGTATTTTGTAAATAAATAAATAAAAGACTCCAATTGAACTTACATGTTTTACCATATATCTGAAGCAATCCAAGTCATGTTCCCTATGTCAAGACATTTTTTATATATTTGCATCATTTAATCTCATGGTTTTGGTTGGGCTTTACAAGCACATACCAAACTTATAGCTATAATTAATCCCACATTTCAGGTGAGGCAATCGACTACGTTGACTGCATGCTTTGTGGTCAAACCAATTAAGCTTGGAGGAAAAGGCTCACAGGTGAATCAGTGATGCCATCCATTGCGCCATGATTATTCTTCTACTTTTCTATATTTATTTGTTTTATCCCACCATCATAGACACTAATTTATGTGAGAGTTATTTATTTTCCATAGATAAATGAGCTCAGAAGTGTGTCCAGAACGAAAAGAAATGAGATCATCCTAAATTAGTTCGCGTCTAGAAATTGATATAATAAATTAAAAGGGTCCACTTCAAGGAAAATTCGTACCATAAAAACACAAAAAACAAAGGAATGATGAAGGCTTTGGCATGTGAGGTTTTATTAGTGTTTTGTAGCTCAAGTAATAATAGAAAAACAACCATGGTTAGCTAAAGTATTAAAAGGCGGCTCCTAATCTATACCTTGGATGGTCATTGGTCAACAATCTCTACCTTTCTCATTTCTAAGTTCCTTCCTCTACTTGCCCTCTATATATATATTATTGTTCACCTTTGTCATTGTCTTTGTCCCTCTCAAAAACCAAACTCTCTCAACACAAGAAGCAAGCAATCATGGAGGTGGTGATACCAACCAGAACAGCCATGGATTTCGACTTCAATAGCGCCCGATCTTCGCCATGTGTGACGGCCCCTTCGACGCCAAGGCGGTTCGGGGAGTTCTACATGAGTGCACCAACAAGCCCAACTAGGATGTCTGACTTTTACAGGGAGTTTGAAGAGTTCTCCAACAGCAATTGGGAAGATGGTGAGCCGCCAACTCATGAAGGAGCCACACCAAAATCTACCAAATCGCCTAAGGATGAGTTTGGCTTTGAGGACTTCGCATTTGATGTTAGTGAGGAGGTGGAAAGAACTTCTCTCTCAGCTGAAGAGCTTTTCGATGGCGGCGTTATCCGACCCTTTAAGCCTCCTCCTGCAACTAACACCCCCAGAACTCCGTCCTTTTTCCGTCAAGTTCTTTCGCCTAGATGGAAAAAGGGTAAAGACCATCCACTTGGGTCGTCGTCCACGACCCAAATGGACAACACCACAAAGAGAAGTGATCAGCACCAAAGAGGAAGAGACAGAACTCCTGCAGCCTTGTCATCCTCTGTTTCGGGCCATCGAGCAACAAGGTCCCTATCTCCTTTGAGGGTTTCGGAGTATCAATGGGAAGAAGAAGAAAAACAACAGCAACAGCAGCAACAACAAAACAACAGACAGTTAGCTCCGAAAGCCATGTTTTCTCCCTCTGCTGCTGCTTCAGCTTCAAAGGCTTCAAAGAAATGGAAACTGAAAGACTTTCTGCTGTTTCGAAGCGCATCAGAAGGAAGAGCAACAGATAAAGATCCATTCCGAAAGTACTCAAATCTGTTCAAGAAAAACGAAGATGTCAAGAACTCCAGCTTCAGGTCCATAGACAGCCCGGCGGCCACGAGCACAAGAAGAAGAGGGCCAGTTTCAGCTCATGAGTTGCATTACACTATGAACAAAGCAGTGTCTAATGATATGAAGAAGAAGACCTTCTTGCCTTACAAGCAGGGCATTTTGGGTCGATTGGCCTTCAATCCTGCTGTCAGTGCACTTGCCAATGGCTTTGGGTCTCTTTCACGGTCCTGAATCTGCCATAGAATTTGATTAATTTTTGAGAAAATCTGCTGTTTTTCATCAAAATTTTTCTGCTGTAAAGTTGCCTATTTATTTGTTTTTAGCAGTGTAGAATACATACGTAAGAGGATTGTGGTTGATGGTTTGCAGTTAAAAACACAAAAATCAGGCATGATTATTGCCCCCATTACTGCATACACATTCTTTCTTTCTTTCTTTGTTTTATATCAAAGTTTGTAATTGGAGGAATATATAAATATACATACTGGAAGAAAGAAGCACATATTTATCAAATCTTATATATGCAATTTTCTCTATGTTATCTGTCTCCTGCACCATCAATTTTGTTAGCGATCTCAAATCAAGCACTTTTTTTGGTTGGCTATAGAACCCTTAATCACAACCACATAATTTAATACCCTATAGTCAATGATTTACTCAGAAGATGAACTCAAAAGACCTCCACCTCAGGGCAGGATGAGCTATGTCACCAAGGTAATTGGCAAGAAAATCAAATATAATTAAAAATAAAAAAAATTGACTTCTAGCACAATCAATCCATTAGGCAAAAGACTGAGAACACCTGAATGACTCTGGACCGTTGGATAAAGTGGGTCTCACAGTATGAGACCAAGCATCAAGGGCTGACAATTTCCCATATGTGTGAACCAATACTGGCTAGCAAAGCTCTCTCACAGACATGCACGTATTTGGTGACACCAGATAAGAAAAAAAAAGGTATGAAACAAAGAACACGAAATTCAATTTTTGTCAGATTGACTTGTTATTTGATTATCCTAATTCATCAATCTAGAAAGTCAATACGTCATGATAGGACAACTGTCTTCTTTTTTCCTTTTTTTTTTCCGGAGAATGGAAAAATAAAAGTTCTATAAAACATGGGCGGAACTACTAGATTGATTATAGATAGAGATGAACCACTAGACTCATTTTTTATTGCAGCTAGAATGGAACGAAACACTAGACTCGTTTATTCTTCTACAATTTTTAATGTTTTTCCTATGGGGTGTGCTAAACAGAATATAACGGGCGGTGAGCAAAACATATTGTCAACTTCTAGAGGGGAGAAAGGAGCATTGCAATTTGCAATACCAAAGTGGGATGTCAACGCAGTTTAGAAGTTAGCCTTAAGGTTCTGCAACCACATATACATATATAATTAAACTACAACTCATAATTTACCCTAATCCGAACCCGAAACCTTGAGATTAAATGTAACATAATAATTGAACAGAGAACATGTAAAGATCTCAAGTCATTTCCAGTTTGAAAAAAAAAAGATAGTAAATCATTTCAGTTTTCCAGAACAAGCTGTGAATCAGTTCATGCTCATTTCATTTTTGTCATCCATAATAGATCCACAAATTCCTTAAAACTAGCAAATTGTTCTCGGTCAGATTGAGCGGAAACCAAATAACAAGTCAAAACCTGCAAACGTATTGCCTCATACAAATTACAAAAGTACACACAGGAGAATTTCAGAATGCGGCACCTCTTTTAGTGAATGCTTAATCGAAGTTATCAATTTTGATTGGGGTAATGTCATCTGCAACCTTGAAGTGTCCAACTAACCGCGCAAAGAAAACCATTTGCTGCTCCAGCGTGAACTTAATGTTCTCAGCCTGTGTACAATACTATATCAGTTTGTTGTATCCAATCATTAAACTTTTGTGAGTACGTACTACGTAACATAGAAAATACCTTGCGGAAACCATGTTGTTCTCCTTCGTACTCCACAAGAGCAACAGGCAGACCCTTGTCCTTTAAAGCATGGTATATTGTACGAGCTTGTACTGGGGGTACAGACTACAAAACATAATGTACTTTCCAAACTCAGTCTTTGAGTTCATGAAACCACTAGATACCATAATTTTATCTCATCTCCTCTGTGCCGAAAGTATCATCCTTAGTTATCACATGGTGAAAGAGGAGGATTAAAAGAAGTATGACAAAGAAAAGAAAATGCTACAATTTTCTTACCTTGTCTTCCAATCCTTGAAATAAGATAATGGGGCAACAAAATCTATCAACAAAGTTGATTGGCGACTGTTGTGTAGATTTCAGCTGCACCAAAATGGATTCAGCTGCATCCTCAACTTGTGATACTCGCAAGTGCACGAACCGTTGGTAGTTTAGCGTATGTAAGTGCGAGGTCGATCCCACGAGGATTGGTAATTGAATGATTCAATTCATTTTCCCTACACAAAACAGAAATGAAAAAGAAGGGAAATAAATAAAACAAGGAAGAAAGAAAATAACTAACTCAAGCAGATAAGTTCCCAAGTTCAATTAGATTAACGGATTGATTCTAGCTAATGTATGATTAAGCCATGGTGTGTGGTCATAACCTTGTGTTCCTAATTCCCTAATTTGATCATTTGTTGTCTAACCTAAAATTAAGCATTAGGAACCCATTAAGCATAGAAGAACAATTTAAACAAC